TACCATTCCAAATGAAACAGGGGATCGAGTGATACCTGTTTCAAAAGAGCGTTCAATTTTATTTCAAATGACATCAAATAAAAGAGAATTGAATGCTCTTTTAAAAAAGGTATCACTCGACCCCTCGTTCCATTTGAAATAATAAGGATTGGTCCCACCCCGCCTAGAGGGTTAAAGTTGAAGTACTAAAAATGGTTGCAGGAAACTTCCCCCTATGAAAATGAAATTACGTGTACGAGCGATTTTTTAGAAAATAAAAGTGACATCAGATATTTAGCCTGTTTCGTTTTAAATGGTACACCCTGTAAAATATACATACAGTGTGTTTCACGAACATCGAAACAGAGGCGTTATAGGGTGGGTATTTCAAGGTCGATTTCAGAAAAACGCTCGGACACGTCATTCTTGTATTCAAAGGGAAAACTTTTTGACCCCATCGCTATTTCGCTAGGGTGCACCCACTGGGTGGGGTGACTTTTACCCCCTCTTTTTAAGATAGGGGAGATGGGTCGAGTGGTACCTTGTTTCAAAGGTATTTCGATTCTCGTCACAACTGCGTATTTTTTTTTGAAAATCGAAAGATTAGTTCTCAAGATATTCACTGTCAAAGTTGCCATGGGCTGAATAGGAAACAATCCCCTGGCCCTGTAATTCTCAAATTAACACTTTCCTGACTTTTCTCTCGGACACGTCAATTTTTATATTTTGTGTGCTTCTGAAAAAATGAAAATTGACGTGTCCGAGAGAGAAGTCAGGAAAGTGTTAATTTGAGAATAGCTGGGCCGCAAACTTTTTCGTATTTAGCCCATGGCAACTTTGACAGTGAATATCTTGAGAATTGATCATTAGATTTTTAAAAAAATACGCAGTTGTGACGAGAATCAAAATACCCTTAAAACAAGGTACCACTCGACCCATCTTCCCTATTTAAAAAAGACGGGTGAAAGTCACCCCACTTAGGGGGTGCAGCCTAGAGAAATGCCGATGGGGTCGAAGAGTTTTCCCTTTGAATACAAAAATGTCGTGTTCGAGTGTTTTTTTTAAATCGACCTTAAAATAAATTTTTTCACTAATAAGGGTGGGAGAAGCTGGTGAAAAAATAGTTTTAAAAATTGCTGTATCTTCTATACTCCTTATCCAAACTCATTCAGTTTGGGCCTATTTGAAAGAGAATTTTATTGTTATTAAGAACACCACTTCGTTCGGGGTCGATAGTTCCCACCGCGTCTTCTAGAGGGCGCTGTTTAACCAAGATCCAATTTTTTCTAATTTTCTTGAAAAATCCAAATGGCATGATATTATTTTTTTACTGCTGTGCTTTGAGAGCAAAAAAATATCTATATTTTGGCGCAAACCGCAATTCAATATCTGCATTCGTTTTCAAGTTACGTAAGGTCTATGGCTTCCATAATACCTCGTCGACCTTAGTGGGACACCCTGTACAGTGTGTCCACTTAAGTTCGCAGCATATGGGAAACTTTTTTCAATTTCACGAAAAAAAGTTATTCCTCATAAAAGTTTCTGCTTCTTGAAAAAATAATATTAAACTATTAAAACTTGAAATAGCATGTACAGGGTGGTCAGAAATCAGGAAAATATACAGGGTGTTTCCTAAGTACGGTTCGTAACTTCAGGATGTGATTGCTTACAATATTTTAAGAAAAAAAGTTCCCATAAGCATGTGTCCGGAAATGCGTAACTTTTGAGATACAGGGTGTCAAACTTTGGAAAAAAAATCGGTTTGTTAGCTCAAAAATAAAAAAACGATATATTTTTTTAAACTTTGACACCCTGTGTCTCAGAAATTACGCATTTCCGGACACATGTGTACGGGAATTTTTTTTCCTAAAATATTGTAAGGAACCACATCCTGAAGTAATGAACTGTACTTAGGAAACAGCCTGTATATTTGTCTATTTTCTGACCAACCTGTATATGCTGTTTCAAGTTTTAATAGTTTAACATCATTTTTTCAAGAAGCAGAAACTTTCTTGAAAAATAACTTTTTTTCGTGAAATTGATAATAAAAAAGTTTCCCATATGTTGCGAACTTAAGTGGACACACTGTATATAGGTACATATACAGCGTGGGTAAAAAGAATGGAACACTTACGGGGGTTTCAAAATTATTTGTTTTTCGAAAAATCGCTCGGAACCGTCAATTTTATTTTTTTAAGCAGGGTATTTTTTGAGAAAACAAAATTATACAGAGTGTCTCACAAATCAATTTTGTTATTTCAAATGGCAACTCTGTAATTGCATTTTTGGATTCTACGAAAAATTATGGAAAGATTTCATGTATGATGTTCTATACCTATGTTCAACTGTTTCGGGAATATTGACAGTTGAAAATTGACTTTTCTGCAACTTTGACACGCTATAAAACCTAAACGGTTAATTTTAGAGCAAAACCGATCATATACATACAGTTTTCCATAAACTATAATTTGACACCAACTCTGAATTTAATCGGAGATTAAGTTTAACCGGAATTTTTAATCGTGGATTAAATTCAAAGTTGGTGTCAAATGATGAGTTTATGGAAAATTAAGATAAGAATGTATGATCGGTTTTGCTCTAAAATTAACCGTTTAGGTTTTACAGCCTGTCAAAGCTGCAAAAAAGTCAATTTTTAACTGTCAATATTTCCGAAACAGTTGAATAATATAGACATAGGATGTTATACACAAAATATGTTCATAATTTTTTGTAGAATCCAAAAATGCAAAAATATACACGGTTGCCGTTCTAAATAACAAAGTTGAAGTAAGTAACTCCATTTTTGGGACACCCTGTATAATTTTTTATTCTTCAAAAAAATGTGCAGCCTAAAAATAAAATTGACGGGTCCGAGCGATTTTTCAAAAAAAAAAGATAGATTTCAAATCCCTGTATAGGTGTTCCATTCTTTTTGCCCACCCTGTATACTGCCTACAGGCACGAATCTGAGCTGGTTTTCTTTGTTTTCCCAGCCACACTGATGAGTTCTGATAGATCAAAACGCGTCTGTGGATGGAAAGACAGAGAAAAGCATCTCACATTTTAATGTTTTTCGAATTTCAGTTAAGACAACTAACTGATCTTTGGCAGTGGCGGACCTAGAACCTTTGGGGCCCGACGCAAAAAAAAATTTGGGGCCCTATCATGCTTTTTTCAGGTATTTTTCTTGTGGTGTTGGAGGCATTAGCTGACGTCACACACATAACCTCACTTTCGATGGGGGACAATCAACAACGATAAGTATTCATCAAACTGACATTTCTTCATGGAAAACTGTCATAAGGAATACTTATAAGGCATTCCTAAAATATGTAGTTGGAAGAAACGGCCTTCAATGACATGTTTGTCCCCCTATCTAAAGTGACGTTATGTGCTTTGTGACGTAATAGCCTATCGCCTAACCGATGTGTGTGAATAGTCTTTCAACGTTTTGTTTGTCTCTCTTTCGAAAGTAAGGTTTTGTGTGTGACGTTAGCTAGTGCCTAATTATGTACTAGCCTTGTACTAGCTGACGTCACACACATAACCCCAATGACATGTTTGTCCTCCTATCGAATCTCATTCATGACAAAGCTAGCGCCTTTGCCTATAAAAAGTCCTTTAAAGGCTTTGTTTGTCCCAACGAACTATAACCAAGAGCTGGAATGCGCACGGTAATTGCCATATCCGTCAAAAAAATTTGATGAAGAAAAGAATGCGGACAAAAAATTGACAGGGCGTCAGCTCCTCTTGACAGTAGGTACATCAATACACATCAATAAACCGGAAATGTCATTGGATTGGCTGCAGATAATTGAAATCCATTATCGCTACCTTCATAAAAACAAGTTTGACAAGGTTCACGATACAACCCACCAATCACCATGCGTATCCGCCATTTTACTGCTCTTCGCCCCTCAGACCTCGCCGGCGAAATTAAATTTGACAGACTTTAAGAACATATGAGACAATATGAAAACAAAATAAACGAAAAAAAAATTATTTGTAAAAATTCAGGAACTTTCTATCTAAACAAAAAGAAATACAACATGTAATGATGTAGTACAGGTATTCTTTCGATCTTAACAAACTGATTGTGATCACATCAAGTTTGTTCATGAGGCATCAAAAAAACAGTTAGGCCAATGAAATCGTGCTGAAACCAGATGACAATTGATTGAAGCAAACCTCAAGTGACTCCGATCAGTTTGCTCAGATCGAAAGAATACCTGGATTGCAGTCTGTCTCCACATACAAAAAGATCAAAAAAGTAAAATATTATGCGTCCCGCGCGTCCGCGGTTGCCGCATCGCGTCGAGCACAGCAGGCTTCCTAGAGATATACAAAGTTGCCGTAACTTCCAAAATTTAATTTTCGCTTTTTTTATGTTCATGAGTTTATTTTTTTTTTATCAATGTGTTTAGGATCTGGTTGTGTGGGGGCCCCTCAGCTCTGGGGGCCCGACGCAGAGTGCGTCCTTTGCTTCATGTTAGATCCGCCACTGTCAGCCTATTGACGCTTTAAACGGCAAAATGTTGTTTAGTATATTACTACATTAGAGCATTATAGTTATATATGGCGTCACGACACAAAATCTCCTATCGTATATACACCGTGATTATCGTAGCCCATGCATTAGAATTCAATTGGATTGCAGGTGGATTAGTAGAGATAGCATCTAATCCACCCGCAACCTAATGAATGGCTACGTAAATAACCCCGTATATAATAATATATAAATATAAGTATTATTTTCCATGTGTCAAAAACATCAAATAAAAAAGTTTCCTTTTGGTCAAAATGTGGCCAATGACCCTGTATATAAATAATATAACCTTTAACAGATCTGTTCAACCATTACATAAACAGAAGTTTAGTTTTTGCAGCTCAAAAGTGCATCTGCTTAATATAAAACTTTAAACAGTCACGTATAGGTAATTTCAAAATGCGGAAGAATCGCTATTTCACCTAAACCTTCATATCTTCTAAAAAATCTAATATATATATATTTTTTTTTTCAGAGTGGAGATATTTTATACTCACCCATCTTCTAATATAAGCTAGGATTAAAGAAACTCGGAATTGATTTTTAGTTCAAGCACAAAAAAAAAACACATCAAGACCTAACACACCTAATAGAAAAAAAAAATCAATATCCTTCAATACCATAAGACTGATCCATCTATAGTTAAAAGAAAATCTGGAAAAAAATTGTTGTTCGCACAAAGGAAGAAAATCAACCACGGAACGCTGCAACACAAAACAAAAACGCTTCAGACGGGCGTTAGATGACGATGAAATTTTATTGCAGTTTCCTTTGCGTATTTATTGTTATAACTAGTTGCATTCTATTCACCGATGCGCATTACACACAACAATGGGCTGTGCATATACCAGGTGGATCCAGTGTCGCTGACGAAGTGGCCATGGATCATGGATTTATCAATCATGGACTGGTAAGTCTTTATATTTTGTAAAAAAAATTGAATGTTTTAATAAGGAGGAAAAAGATTCTCCGATACAGTGTAGTGTACCTACTTGATATCCGTGAGTACTTTACGATGTAGTACTCAGGCCCCGTTTCAATTTCAAAAAATGAAATTCGAACAAAAAAAAAAATTGAACGAAGTAACTATATACACAGGATAGGCTAAGTGCTCGAAATTTTCCCTGGTGAATACTTTGGATTTCCTAATTCAATTATGTCTCTAGCTCTAAGTTATCATCTCAAAGGTATATCCTCTTAAATCGGCGTCGTTCCATTTTTCGCTCGCAAAGGATTTAAAAAAGTCGTTAGAGGCATATTTCCAGACCAACCAGTAAAATTAAGACACAATCGGAAAAACAACTTATATTTTCCTAAGCTACAAGAAGAAAGTAAAAAAAAACAAATATTTTGCGTTTTCTTATGTTTTCACAAATATCTTGACACGAAAAGCGATTTAGACTTTTCTTGTTGAAAATAAAATAGGTCGAGAAGAGAAGTTGAGACCTTAAAGTATTTGTTGTTGGTTACTCTCTCCACCTAGAAAACTTTTAACAGGGAATTAGGGTTTGTTTGTTAAGTTCCCAAAACAAGAGAGTCGACAGGATAAATAAATATCCAATTAACGAGGATAATCCTCTATTTTCACTATAAACTCTGTAAGTAGCGTATTTTTAATTCTGGATAGGGTTTTAAACAAAATACATGTTCCGGTCCACACTTTTTGATTTGCAAAAAACTTTTTCTACAACATGCATAAAAAGTGACCTTTTGCGATTTGCTTTAACTACGCAAAGTTGACCTTTTTTGATTACCAATCGACAAAAACTTTGTTGCCATGGGAGACAAGCGACAAAGTAAACTTTGCCGATTGATTGCAGGTTGAAATGCACCTGAAATTGTGGAAAAATAACCAGTTTATTTTGAACTTATTGACATTTAATTTGCCTCAATTATAATTTTTTCAATTTTAATGGAGAATCATTTCAATGTTGTAGAAGTCGAAAAAATCATGTGTGTAATTCGATCGCAAAGTAATATTGTCGCTCTCGCGAGATAGTCAAACTTCTCGCTCAGAGCACAACACAAATAGCTATTTTTGTTTTGCAAAAACTTGCCACTTATCCAGAGGATTTAATATGTGTATTATTTCTTTATTTGTTTAGCAATTCATTTCCTCATAGGGTTTGTTGAAGAATACCTGCTTGATTATTTTTACCTGATATAAGGACAGTTTCTTTATTACAGTTTAAAATTCGATCATTTTTATCTGGCTTCTGCTAAACTATAAATTTTATGTTTAATATCCTAGCGTATGCAAACTTCGCCCTTTTTTACAGGAAACCTCACTAGGCCAGCGGGCCGTTAGCGTTTGATAGGAGAAACATTTTCAGGAACTCCTGAATAGAGAGTCCCACTAGGATAATAACAAAGTCCCTCAAAAACCCACTCAAAACCATCTGAGCGAAGTTCCTTTCCATCAAGAGATTGAAAAATCTATCGACCCTAAAAAATAATAAAGCTGCTGCGTTAGATAAAGTCCCTGTTGAGCTTTTTGAGATGGTCGTGCAGTAGCGAAAAGTGAACACACACATATTAATGTTTCGTTAAGAAGAAAACAATTTGTATTTCATGTACAGGGTGTTCGATTATATTTAAACCCATACCTACAGCCTTTACTAGATAGAAAAAAAAATTAAATATACAACTTGCCATGCCAGTTTTTTTCTATATTTTATTTTAACATTATCAGAAGAAACGAAATCGCATCGGAACATTGAAAAACGTAGACAACTTCAACTTTTTTTAATGGAATATGGATATTATGCGATAAAATCAAAGATTTTTCTTCCTGATTCCAAATATATATTATATATATTGATCACATTTGCGTGAGCTATATTTGATAAAGCTTGAATTATAAATAATTTACAAAGAAATTTTATAAAGATTTTTAAATGTCTTGACATCCTTATGAATTTTTTTTGCAAATTATTTAAAATTCAAGTTAAGATATGTCAAGAATGGCTCACGCGAATGCGATCAATATACTTATATAGGTACAGTGTGTCCCGCTTAAGGACTGACCACCCTTCTAAAATTTTTATTTTTCGACCGATTCAATTCTATTCGAATTTGGCACTTATTAGGCTTATAATTTTATTTCTGCAGCTGTACTGGTATACAGGGTGTCAACATTTATAAGCTCAAATTTCAATAATAACTATTAGGGATTTTTTCAGAAAAAAATCTGATAGCAAATTCTTGTTTAAAATGATCTAAAGCCCAAATGTACTAATTTTTGTTCCAATACGATACAGGGTGATCACGACAAATTTTCAAAAATTGATGAATCAAACCGCAAAAATGTCATATTTTGAGACAAGCTTGCTACAAGTTTTGGTTAAGGATGTTTCAAAACTATGTTGTATCAAGTTTTGTTGTTCTCGAGACCTCAAAATATGACATTTTTGCGGTTTGGTCCATTAAATTTTGGAAATTTGTTGTGATCACTCTGTATCGTATTGAAACAAAAATTGGTACATTTGGGTTTTAGACCATTCTAAACAAGAATTTGCTGTCAGATTTTTTTTTTTAAAATCCCTAATAGTACTTATTGAAATTTGAGCCTATAAATGTGGACACCCTGTACACCAGTACAGCCGCAGAAATAAAGTTATGAGCCTAATAAGTGCCAAATTCGAGTAGATATAGGACAAAAAAAAAATTGAATCGGTCAAAAAAAAAAAAATTAGAAGGGTCAGTCGCGGGACACACTGTATATATTTGGAATCAGGAAGAAAAGATCTTTCGTTTTATCGCATAATATACAGGGTGTTCCATTGAAAAAAGTTGAAGTTGTCTACGTTTTTTCATTTTCCGATGCGATTTTGTTTCTTCTGATAACGTTAAGAGAAAATATAGAAAAAAAATTTGTATTTAATTTTTTTTTTCTATCTTAACTAGTAAAGGCTGTAGGTATGGTATGGGCTTAAATATAATCAAATACCCTGTAAAATTCAATTTTATTGAAAGCTCAGCGTATAGTAGAGCCCTTTCAGCTTTCGCTATCATCAGAATTCAGGAATCTGACAAGTAGTAGGTACTGATGATGGCGAAAGCCGAAAGCAATATGGAACACCGAGATGATTTCCTTAGATCTGCGTGACACCTCTATCGTCACTATGCCTAACTAGAGACTAGCCAATGCAACCGATACAAAAATTATGGCCTAAAATTAAAAAAAGATAACGGAATAGGTACCTAACTTTACGTTGGCCTGACGCCTGACCAGTTTGTAAAAATAGTCTTCTATTTTTCACTGAAATTAAATACCAACAGAAATCTGGAAAAAATGTCTTTGTTTCAAATTTTGCCCCTTAGATTTTTAGCCCGTTTTTTTTTTGTCGCCTATTAAAAAAAATCAGATCAAAGTTGAGAAGGTGCCAGCCCATAGAAAGTGCTGAAGCTAAAAAGAATGCAGGCGCCGCTGGTAATGAGGATATAATATTATATTACTGATAAAAGCTGTGGTTCTAGAAATTAGTTTACAGGAAATCTCAAAGAAGGCACGATTTCAATTATTTCCAATGGCCCATTGTTAAATAATAGTCTTGTTATTCATTTGCGATAACAGTAGCAAAATTAAGTCAGCGGACAACGAACATGGAAAATGTCAAAACGATAATAGTGACTGGGGACCATCGGGCCGTTAGTGACTGGGAGACTAGGGCCATCAAGGCTCAGTATATCGAACAAGAGATGCGGAGGAGAAACTGAATCGTACGAAAGAACGTTCGATCATGCTGGGTCAAAGTTGGTTCGTAACAACGAGATGTGCATTAGTTTAGGGGACCAAGAAAATGATAATTCAACCATCAAAGAAGCTATAAAGTAACAATTTCCCAGGAAGACTTATCATACTCTTAACCAAGTTGATGCCTATGAGGATGATGATTTGAAGTATAAACAGATATTATACTTATATATTTTGGAAAAAATACGATACCTTTTGAAAAAGTTATTGCGAGGGCTATGAAAGTGCGAACTGGTTTATTAGGAATCAAGCAAGGAGCCAAATTTAGAAAGAAATAATCTAAAGTCTTAATCTTCTGATTTCTGAGAAAGGAATAATCTAGAAAAATACAGAAGAATCGATGAAAAGCGATTTGCACACTTAGGTACGTTTATTCGCCTTCTTATCAGAAGGCGAATAAACTGCAATAATCTGATGGATAAACACGCAATTTATAATTCTATCGCTTGGCGAGTTATCCACCGACTAATAGGATTATATAGATTGGTAAATTTATCTTGTAGACTGTTACCAGTAAGTTTATCTGAAAATAAGTGAACCAGGCCTGAGTTAAACAGAATTATAGTGATATAGTTTTGGAACAGATAAGTCTGTAGTTCGAGTGATACGAAGTGTGGGTTATTGCCTTAAATAAAGTTTATTTGTGTCCGGAAATCTGCGCCCCACATACTTTTTACATTATTATTATTTCAAAAATAAGATTTCAACCAATATGAATCTACAAAAAAGTGCATGGTTAAACTTTCAGGAAAATGATAAGATTTTTTTTTGAGTATCGAGTTTTCCAGAATTTGTATTCCAGTTTTTACTTTTTTCCTGTTATTTTTTGTTACATTTTCATGACATCAGATATTCCCAATTACCTATAAGACGATAATAACCGACGGTCCTTTATAAAGGGTGTTTTTTGATTGAATGGCAATATTTAAGAGGGCAATTTTTGGTTCCATTTTAGGAAGAAAACTTCATATGACCGTATGTCCTAAAGGTCTCAACTTTTTAGATACAGAGGGTGATAAAGTTTTCGAAAATAAATTATTTATTATTATTATCTGTAACGCCGCTTTAGATATTTTAATGAAATTTGGCATACATGATGCGTACTATGTATCACTACATCTACTACACTACAGACTACATTTTTTTTAAATTTC